ATTTCTTAACATCTTCAGCAACTTGATGGTGGTGAGAAAACTTGGTCTATTCAAACAGTTAATCGGATACTCGATTTTTTTTGGGGAGACGATTTCTGGAATTGCATTGTACCTACGGAATTTGTACTATCACACAAATTAGATGACTTTGTAAAACTAGCACGTAACAGAGTATTATCATTTTACGAATAATGAGAATTGTACAACTACCACGGCAAAGAAATTGAAATCTGTTGGGATTAACAGATACAGTTAAGTATATATTTTTGTTATATATACACTAATTATAATTTACTAACTGGTCTAACTCTTTTTTTAGAATATCTAATCTCAGGATATCTTATGGACATTATTCGTATAAAGACTTACAGAATATACGAAATATTTTCCTACCTCGTACTCTGAAAGATAGGAGTTATTAAATATCGTTAGAATTGGTGTCCTTTGGAGGTATCATTTATTTTTTAATATCAAATATATCTTATTCATGATTTGTTTATTAAAGTTCTACTTCTAACTATTGTAGAAATTGCTAATGGAGAATGCATTAAAAATTGATGATACCCGTTGTGTTCGTGATTGGATAAACACGGACAAAAACACTCCTCCAGCCACTTCTCGGCATCGGACTCAAACACCTGTGAAATCATCCAGGAATACAATTAAACGCCGACATAATTAATATTTTTTCAATTATGTTGATGACCAGGAGTGATTATAGTTATTCCCATGATTTGAGAAGTTAGTGTAATACTTGGTATATGATTACGTCATAATCCCGTTATCTAAATCTGATGCATTATTGTAATTTAGTATGTTCAATCTGTCTGTGCTTGCAGATTGAATAGCCCAAGTATAAGGTTCAACATCTTTTGATAGAATTATGAACTCACAACCATGCTTGATTATTAGATGAAACTAAGGTGGACCTCTAAAGCTGCTTCACAACCATGTTCGAATAATGCCAGTTTTCTGTTTTCCTTGTACATCCATTGCTTGAAAGAGGAGCATCACTTGTGATTCTCGTTCAAATGCTCTACTGTCAAATTTAAATTGGTTATTATCTGGATCATGTCCCATAGTAGAATGGTCTTTTATTACCAGGGGATCAATAGGCTATAGTCTTGTTACCAATTCATGTTACATTGTTGAGAGTTAAATTTGACAGGACTGTATTACTAGAGTTCAATCATCCCTACATATACAGTTACTGATTGTTATTATAAAGAGAATTTTATTATAAACAAAGCTAAGTATAACATTTTGTAAAAGACTTTTTTGAATATTCATTTTCTAGACATTGAATAGTTTGGTCTAAGTCGGGAGCAAAAATCGCGAAAATCCCGAAAATCTACTCGTTGGTAATAATATTGATACCTTTGAATAGATATGCTATTAAGTAATATATTGTACACAACACCAAAACACCAAAACTTACTATATATAAACACTACACCTACTTTCTTTTAAATTAGTACGTAAAAAAACAACACTCCTTACCAATTTGAGTATGAAATTTCGTTGTTGTATCAGGAGAAACGGACACTCTGCTACCCACACAAATTGCCCTTAAACTACACCCCATATGTGTTAACAATACATTGGCATAATCATCATCGAAAACATCAGTTGTAAAATAAAATGATTTAAGCTTTGCTGAGCACGCAGATATAAACGAGTTAAATGTTTCTAAAGAGACGTGACTACAAGTGTATGCTTGAAGAGTTGTTACCGAACTTGGCAAACTCTTACTAAGCATTGATAATACCTTTGATGCTACTCCATTGTCATCACCATCTGGTAAAATGTCAAGTTTTAACTTCTTTAGCTGCTTCCATAGTGGAAGGACTATTTCTATTAATGAAATAGATTCCTCCTGATTTAGTAGGACCTCGAAATCAATAAGATTGGGTGCCTTTCTGGCACATTCTCTCCATGTTTCTACATCGAATAATGCGCCAATAATCTCTACAGAAAGAACTTTTAGACTTTCTTTTACATTTCTAAATAATGTTTCAATACCATAAGAATTAGTTTCCATCAAATACAATTTAAGGGTGTGAAGATGGGAGAACGCAGCTGATGGCAGTTGTAAATAATACGATGGATAGAAAGTGCAATAATGTAACTCAATTTCATGAAGATTAGTACAGCGACCAAGGTCACTGAATATATCATTAACCTCTGCAAATTGTATCTCAATTCTTCTAAGAGTATTGGCCTGCGTACACACCGCTTTCCAGATAAGTTTCCAGCTATTCTGAGGAGATTCGAAATCTAGCGAGAGAAACAAGACCCGCAATCTCTCTTGCTTTCGTATGAGTTTGCTAATCGCGTCACACCATACAACAACGTCATCAGATGCTGGATAATCTGAACAATGGAATTCAAACACTTCAAGTTTTGTTAGTTTCTCTGCTGCGGTGTAGAGGATATCTGGATGGAAAGCCTGGGTAAATGTGAATTGTCTTAGTCGATTAAACTTTATCCCGACGTCTTTGATGGAAAATAAATTCCACGCCCTGGCTGACCATCTGTGAACAGAATCATCTATATCATCAAAATCAAGCTCGTCCAAATATATTTCGTTTAGAAAGGGGCAGTTAATAACTATTTCCCTACAGAGCCTCAGAAGTAGCAGCCGTACGTGTGTGTTTTGCGTATTATTTGGGTTTACCGTATCGAGATAAGACGTCGTTGCTATTGCACAGTGCGACAAGTTCAGTGTTCTTACAAATCCCAAGTAGTTGAACATGGGCCGTAGATTCGGAGGCGGTATGTCCATTCCCATTATGTATTCCAAGTCGTCAAGACTTTCGCTCGGTAGTAGTTGTAAGAAGCTGGTGAGCATTCTACCCCCGTTGTCTTCACACCAAGAGAACGGCATTTGCCATAAATATTTAACAGCACACTTGCACCACATACGATTAACCAGTAAGCAAGAATAAAGGTCATTGCTATCCTCAGACAATTCAGAGATTATTTGCGCGATACAGAGGAGTGGGAAGTTTGACATGCTTTTGGTGGTCGCCATGTCGAATATGTAGTGAACAGAGACGCGTTCGGGGGATGTGCCCATGTGCATACTATACTAGCACAATACCCTGCCACATTTTATGACCACCTGACGATCATCCAACATAGAAAAGATGTATATCCTTCCGATTTAAGCGAGGAATGATAGTAATAATGGACCCATGTCGCTGTGAAAGCGAAAGACAGTTGTAAAAAGGGAAGACAGTGGCAGTCGATCACAAATTCTAGCGAGTGGACTGTCGAAAAGCAAGCTATTAAAGATAGTGTCGTCTAGATTACATATACTTTATTCTGTTGCTTTTTTTATTAAGGTAACTCATTTAACATCTGATAGCGACCTCATAATGTATTGACGAGGCCATGAAAAAGATGATTTTGTTCGTCTTATTCTACAGCAAAGTCTGGCTATAATATGGTATGCTTTACATACTTATGCTCGGCTGTAAGTCATAGTAAGATGGAAAACTGATTGATGATGAGACACAAGCTTTATGTGATCTCGTAGATTGCAGAGGATATTAATATCACGAATTGATATCACATGATTTATAATTTTTTTTGACTGGACTTATGTCTTGAACAAAAGGAAAACAAAAGAGAATTATCTACCTGAGTACTTTCATTTTAGCGTGCCAATAACAAATCTCTTAAATGCGATGAGAGGTCTTAATCGTCAACATATACACCATGGGTTTAGGATGGAGCTTTTGAGAACTTGAAATTTGGTGCCTGTTATTCGTCTAATGGCGACAGTCTTTTCTTCCTATTATGTGGGATCCTTTTTCTATAACAATAAACTCGGAAATGAAAATAGCAAGTACAGTCAACCCTCTCTATAGTCACGCTGTCGGGAACAATGCAACTTTTGTTGAAAATGTGCTTATAAAGAGGTGTG